TACTTGGTTCATAAGGCTTACGGACAGAAGCTTCTGAGTCTGAAAGCCCAGCCTGCAAGCCACTGGCACTCAGGAAAGTCGAGAACCAAGGCCCTGGCGTCAGAAGCCAAGAGCCACAGTTCTAAGTGCTGTTAAGTGTCTGGCTTTGAAACCCCATCTCGTAAGCCTCTCCCACTCAGCACCTTGAGGCTGCCCACATGTCATTCCCACCAGAGAGGGTTCCTCTGCTGATTGGTGACAACTACCGCCACCCAATCTTTCAACCTTGAGCTCCTGTACCATTTTGACAAAATGGCTAAACTTAAATTTTTGTCCTGTAGCTTTCACACAGGCTTGTATGTATATACTGTATGTATATGTATGTTGTATATGCCTCTATGCACGTGGGTGTGGGCATGCTCACGTTTGGGGGGGGGTGTGGAGGTCAGAGATTGATGTCAGGGTGTCTTCCCTAACCATTTTTCCACTTTATTCTTTGAGACAGTCTCTCGCTGAATCTGGAGCTCACCAGTAAGCCTGGTGACCTCCTGAGTTTGATCCCAACAACCCACGTGGTGGAAGGAGAGAACCAATTCCTCCTGCAAGTTGTTGCCTGACCTCCTCATGGGTACCACTGTGCATCTGTACACACACACACACACACACACACACACACACACACACACACCAACAAATAAACGTACTTAAAAATTTGTAGTAACACCTGGAGGCTAAGGCTTATACACGAGCCTTGTCCTGGGGATACTTTACATCTAAATCATAACACTCTCATGCTCAGGTGCACAGTTTCTAACATCATGCTGGTCATCATTGCTGAGAAAATGATCTGAGCCAATTGTCTGAAGGAGATCTTCCATCATCATCACAGAGTGGGGTGGCATGCCCATCAGTGCTGGTCTAGTTCCCTGGAGCTCTCTCAGCTTGCTCTCCAACCACAGATATGCACCTGTTTTATTTCTATTCCCTCATGGTCCAGGAAGTACACAGACCTAAAGCTGACTCTGGTAGGTTAACAGAATTTTGGGGGGATAAGCAGAACTCTTGAGCCAAACAATTCTACCTAAATATTACAAAAATTTGTGTAGGGCATTTGTGTACCCTTAAATATTTTAAAACTACATTTGGTTATTGTGTGTACATGGGCAGACATATGTATACCAGACACGGTGCTGGAGAAGGAGCTGAGAGTCCTATATCTTGTAGGCAACAGAAGTGGTCTGTGTGTTGTCACACTGGCAGTATCTTGCGCATATGAGAGACCTGCCTACACAGTGACACATGCTGTGGGATGGTCTGTATGTCAAAATACTCTGATTGGTCAATAAATAAAACGCTGATTGGCCAGTGGCTAGGCAGGAAGTATAGGCAGGACTAACAGAGAGGAGAAAAGAAAGAACAGGAAGGCAGAAGGAGTCACTGCCAGCCGCCGCCATGACAAGCAGCATGTGAAGATGCTGGTAAGCCACAAGCCACGTGGCAAGGTATAGATTTATGGAAATGGATTATTTTAAGCTATAAGAACAGTTAGCAAGAAGCCTGCCACGGCCATACAGTTTGTAAGCAGTATAAGTCTCTGTGTTTACTTGGTTGGGTCTGAGCGGCTATGGGACTGGCGGCTGACAAAGATTTGTCCTGACTGTGGGCAAGGCAGGAAAACTCTAGTTATAGACACACTTCTTCCAACAAGGCCACATCTACTCCAACAAGGCTATACCTCCTAGTAGTGCAAATTCCTTTGGGGGCCATTTTCTTTCAAACCACCACAGAAGGTCTTATTTCTTCTTCATTCCCAAAGGCTAGTTTTGCTGGATACAGCAGCTTAGTCCAAAATGATTTTCTCTCAAGACCTATAGTACATCACTTCATCCCCTCCTGGCCTGTCGTTTCTGCTGAGGAATCTGCTATTAATCCAACTGTAACATCCTGGATTGTGACTAGGGCTTTCTTATTTTAAAATAGATTTTAAAATCTTTTCTTTGCCACATACTTCAACACTATGCTTGACTATAGTATTCTGTATTAAAGATCTTTTCTGGTCACATTAGGGTTCTAAAATACCTCATTTACATATATGTCTGCATTTTACCCAAGATTTGAATTCTTGCCACATTATTTCATTGAAATTGTTTGTGTCCTTAACTTTTTCCTTTAACTTTGAGTATTCAAAAAAATATACTTTGTTCATTTAATGGTGTCCCAGAAGTCCTGAATACATCTTCTTGCCCCAACTGAGCTTTCAAAAGGCCTGTCTTCAAGTTCAAATATTCTTTTTAAAATTAAAATAAATTAAACTAAACTATAATTACATCATTTATCCCTTCCCTTTCCTCCCTTCAATGCCTTCCATATCCCCTTATTCCCTCTCAAATTCATGGTCTTTTTATTAGCTACACAACCTCATAAATATATAAACACAGCCTGCTGAGTCCATTTGATGGTCAGGGACTGACCGCTTGCTACTAGATAACCAATTAGGGGGCTCATCCCTGGGTTTCTTTGTCTAGGGGTGGGGTATCATTGGATTTTCAATAGATGTTAGAGTGTCTATTAGTGTTGTCATTGTTCAGGTCTTGTTTAGGACCATACTGTTGAGGTATCTTGGGTATAACTTCCTTGTTACTTCTAGGGGACACAATCTCACAGTAGACCTCCTGATCTTCAACCTTTTACAATCTTTCTACCTTCTTCCATTATGTTCCTGAGCCTTAGGTGCAGGAATTGAATTGTAGATGCATCAGTTGGGGCTTGGTAGCCCAGGGTCAGTTGTTCTCTTCATTTTGACCAATTGTTTTCATTGATGGTCTGTCTTCTGCAAAAAGGAGTTTCTTTGATAAGAAGTGTGGTGGTCTGAATGAGAATGGCCCTCATGGGCTCATAGATTTGAATGCTTGGTCACCAGGGAGTGGCACTATTTGAAAAGATTGGAGGATGTGTGTCACTGGGGGTGGCTTTTGAGGTTTCAAAAGCCCAAGCCAGGCCTAGTCAGTTTCTCTTTTCCTCCAGCCTGTGGATTGGGATGTAAGTTCTTTCCTACTGCTCTGCACCAAGCCTGCCTGCTGCCAAACTCCCCGCCATGATGGTCATGGCTCAGCCTCTGAAACTGTAAATTAAACCCCCAATTAAATGTTTTTTTTTTTTATTTTTTTTTTTTATAAGAATTGCGATGGTCATGGTGTCTCTTCACAGCAACAGAACAAACACTGACCAAGGCAAAGCGTGAGGACTACACTTCGCAGGCTGGATCGGGGCACAGCATGGGCCAGCCTGGCTGGACCTGGATATGGTATGTCATGGTTGGATGGGATAAAGTCACAAGTTCAGATACTCTTTCTTCTGCTTAATCTAGATTGTCTGTTGAGGCTAGCAACTCTATCTTTTATTTAATTTACTGAGTTTTTCATCCCAAGATTGCTATTTGGTTCTTTTTCAATGTATTTCTCTATGGAATTTTGCATTCATAATATGTGATATCTCTTTAATATCATCTCACTAACTATATTCTCTAGGATCTCACTTTTTAAAATACAATCATTCCTTTATCTTTCAATTGTTTCTTTGTAAATTAGTATAAAAAAGAGTGGGTTTCACTATGGCACATTTGTCCTTTACTTGGCTCATATTCACCCCTGCAATGCCTTTTATACCCTTCTCCGCTGGCCCTTCGTCTCCCCAGTAATAATCGTTCCTTTTCATTGTTTATTTGGAATTTACTGCCCGAGTTTTCTTTGAGAGGATGCCACTCATCCATTCCGATTCTTTATGCTCCTACCCTGGGATCTGTGTACCTGGAGTTCAGAACTCTCTATTTTGATGGAATGACCCTCTTAGGAGCAGATTTCTCATGAAGGTGTACACTGAGGTACTGGTGCAGTGCTGGCTGATTCTAGACGGCCACCACAGAGCACTTTCCCTGGTTGTGTGATGAATGAATGACTCTGTGCAGCGTGTGCCGTGTGTGCCGCGCCCATCTGTGGAGCAGACAGTGATGGGGTGAGGGGCGTCTACAGTGGGAGTTACAGCCCTCCCAGACAAAGGTCTTCAGGACCTGCTGATGCCAGCGTTGCTAAGAGCAAAGGCTTTCGGCATGGTGGCTCCAGCAGTGGTCCCATCAGCGCTGCCGACTAGACACTCACAGGAGGGTGGGAAGTTCAACGTTCACTCGGTGGGGCTTATACCCAGTCTTGACAGTAGCACGTGGTCAGACAGGGTGCGTGGGTAGGGCAGCGGAGACTTCCTAGGTGAGGTGGGAGCCGAATCCTGGTGCTCCTTTGTGCTTCTTCTATAGCGCACCCAGAGCTGTGTTAAGTTCTCTTTGGCTATGTACAGCTGGGGACTGGTCAATGCTTGACTCCAGGGGATTGCCCCAAAACCCTTCAGCATCCTCACGTAGGCAGAGCAGCATGAACGCTGCACTCTTCTTGCTGATGACAGGCATTTGAGTGTAGTGTACTGGAACTAGGCGGCAGGAACTTCGTGGGCCTTCAGTGAGCCTATATGCATGTGGCTGGCCACGCTCCTGATAGCCAGACCTTTTCAAAGGGAAAGCACTCTTATCTCCTGATTCTAGAGGGTGACCCTGTTCTGTCACAATGCCTGTCCCTTATACTATAGGGCAGAGTGGAATGTTTGTGGCATTCCAAAGATGGGACACAGAGGAGGATTCAGTGCCGGTTTAAGTTCAGCACCCTGGGGCATGGGTGGCAGTCAGTGGAATGCGCGTGCTCCCTTTCCAAAGGAGATAATCCATGTACACTTCCAGGTTCCTGACAGCAGTGAGCTGCAAGCATGAAGGTGATGCAAACTTCCAGGAGTGAAAACTGCTAACAAACACTGGCTGTGTGCTGGGCCTGTCTCCCTCACAGGAGGCTTGTCTTCCTCTAGCTGTGGATGTGGGCTGGCGGGCACCAAGACTCTGTTTTCCTTACTGTGCTTTGTCCAGGGTCCCAGACTCTCACAGGAGTCCAATCTCTAATTTCCAGGGAGCTCTAATGACCACTCACCTCGGAACACAATTATGCATCTTTAGTTTTTCTTTCTGGAAGAGCTGAGTGATGAGCACCTCTGTCCAGCCATCAGCCAGGAGGCTATCTCTGTAACCTTTAGAGCAGGTAAAAAAGAAAAAAGTCTTCAAAATGTTTTGAAAAGCACAGAAATTGATCAGAAACTCATTAAAATCAAATTCCAATCATAGAACACCAAAAGAGAAAAAAAAAAAGGAATATTTGGGAAATCTACTTCCAACACATATAACTAGTGAATGACATGTGGCCACACTATGTACCCAGAGAATTGTGGACTCAGAGCGAAAAAGTGACTCATTGCAGAATTGCCAAAACTGAAAAGACACATTGAGTACAAAATGCATAAAAAGCCAGCGACATCTAGAAGCTCTCCACATTAGTCATTAGGAAAAGCTAAAACCACAACGACATGCAACTTCACATTCCCCAGAACAGCTGAGTTAAAAATCAGTAACAGCAAACACCGGAAAAGAGGGCCAACTGGCGCTGTTTAAGGGTTTGAATCTGAAATGTCCCTGAAGGCTCATGTGTTAGAGGCCTGGCTGACAGTGGCTGGGACTTTAGGAACTCACTGCATTAGGGCAGCTCTGCCTTCATCAATAGTTTAACCCATTCTCATCATCTGATGGTGAGAAACGGGTACTGACTCAAGAAGCACAGTCACCGGAGATGAGACTCTGAAGGGTCTATCTTGTCCTCAGTCTCCTCCTGTCTCTTTCTGCTGTCTGGCAGCCATGAGGTGATGAGCTCTGCTTCAGTGTGCTCTTCCTCCATGGACTCCCTCACCACAGGTCCACAGACAATGCAGCCACTCTATTCATAATAGCTAGCAGATGGAAAAGTCTAAATGTCCTTCAATTGATGAATGGATAATGAAAATTTATACATATACACAACAATACTATTCAGCTGTCAAGAAAATGAGATCATGAAATTTACAGGTAGATGGGTGGAACTAATATACTAAACAAGGTCACCCAGATCCCGAGTGACAAGCGCTACATGTTCTCTCATTTGTGGTCCTAACTCTAAATCTTTAGATGTGAGTATACAATAACTGCAGAAGCCAGGGAGTCAAATGAACCTTTGGGGTGGAGAAGGCGCTCTAGTGACCAGAATAGCAGGATACAGATGATTTGAAGGGGAGATGGGAAAGGGGAGGCATGAAGTGGGAGGGAATGGGGAAACCATGGCAGGAGGGAGGAGGGCAAGCCACACTGGGGATGTTTGGATAGCCACAGGGAATATTACTTTATGTATAATACACAAGTGATGGTGGCCTGAGTGAGAATGGTCCCCTAGGTTCACACATTTGAATGTTTTGTCCCTAGTGTGACTGTTTAGGAAGGATTAGGAGGTGTGGTGGTGGGAGCGGGTGTGACCTTGAGGAGGTGTGTCACTGGGGGTGGGCTTTGAGGTTTCCTAGTCTCTGTCGGTCTCTTTGCCCCGCCCCCTTGATTCAGGATATAAAGCTTTCAGCTGCTGCTCCAGTACTATTACATACATACATACACACACACACACACACACACACACACACACACACACACACACACACACACACGGTGCTATAGTAATGCTCTTCCCAAGAGCCAGACTATTTAACAAACCCCAGTATCAGGCATGAGAAACCTCCTTTTGAGCATTGGTCAGGGGAGTCCAAAAGGCCCCCAAACAATACAGGTTATTCCTGTTGCCCTTGGCTATCTCCCAGGAGTTGGAGGCAAGTCCTTACTGCTAAGACAACAATCACTTTGGCTGACAGGATTCAGAGGGTTCAGGTTGGATCTGACCTGAAGACCTCTTCCCTGAGGACTAGTTTTCCTACTGCTGTGAAAGCTGCCGAGGAAGGAATGCTTATGAACACAATGACAGCAGAGCACGATGCCCTCGAGGTGCACCAGTGGCACTTACATCTTGGCAGCAACAAAGAGCCGTCTAATTGGATATTAGGTCTGATCAAGAGGAGGAAAGTCATGCCTGCCTGGTGCTGGAAACCCAGCCAGCCAGCCATGGCTAGAGACACTGTGGATCGTAGCGGACCCCCTCCTGCCCCTTTTCTATGCCAGTCGCTCCTAACTGTGTTCCAGACACTTACCCTTAGACCACAGGTAAGGTCGCTCTCGCCCCTCCAGCCATCAAAGCTTCCTTCTGAAACAGATGGAGACCATTATAGACGTGGGGTGCTGACCCTAGCCCACACATCTACAAGGACACAACTCCTGCGCCTAAGGTCAGGGAATGTCACTGATGATGGTGCAGAGGACCAGGAAGTCTGCTGCAAGACTGTGTCTTCTACACCTATGAAATCACAGTGTGGCTGCTTAAGGCCAGAACAGTGACGTCACCAGCTGACTTGCCAATGTGGATGGGGAAGTCTCATAGAGCTCCATCTCTAGATGAAAAACCTTAACAACTGCTCAGAGAGGGAGAACTAGTCTTCCTCAGGGATGTATTCCCTAAATGGTTGTCTAATACGAAGTGGTCAGCCCATATGCATACAACCAACCCTAAATCATTCAGTAGACTCCCCACCTTGTGTGTGTGTGTGTGTGTGTGTGTGTGTGTGTGTGTGTGTGTGTGTAACAGTAATAATTAAAAAGAGGCCACAAATTTGAGAAGGCACTGGGAGGAATGAAAGGGATAGAAGGAGGCAGCAGGGGAAATGATGTAACTATTTTAATTTAAAAAAAATTAATGTTTTAAAAAGGACTGGCAAAAGGTTTAGGTGGTCATTTCACCATATAAAATGATTAATAATCAGATGAAAAAGTCCTCTGCATCATTTACCTTTAAGAAAATGCCAATTAAAACTAACGTGCTGGAAGAGTCTGACCAACTCAGCTGTCATACTAGCCCAGATATAGTGCTCTGAGTCAGTGAACCCCAACTACTCCATCTACAAGCTGCTGGACCATGATGAGGAGCTGCAGAACCAGCTCTGGGAGCACGTCATCAGCGATGAAGATGAAAACATGAAGCATGGCTGTGACTGAGGAAGTCTCAGTCATGGTCGGGTGTCTATGGTGCTTCAGAGACCAGTCTTTGATCTAGACCAAAGACTTGTGGCAAAGAGTATTTGCATGTAGAGCTGTGTGGGGAAAGAGGTACTGAGTAATGTGCTACAGTTTCCAAGGCCACTGGGAGGGGTGGGAAGGATGGACGAATCAATTAGCACATACACGGTAGAGAGAGGCCCGAGCTGCTGCTAGAGGCCATGTTGATGTGCTGGCCTGTACTGCCTCTGAGGCCATGTGGATGACTGTGGTCCACGCTGCCACTTGAGGGCCATGTTGGGGAGGCCAGGTGGATGACTGTGGTCCACACTGCCACTTGAGGGCCATGTTGGGGAGGCCAGGTGGATG